TCGCGATACTGACGTCCGCGCAACCATGAAGGGCGTAGCCCGCGGCGCCAGGGGCGCCCTGTGAAGATGCCCGCGCGTCGTGGCTGATGACCTGGATCTCCGGCCCATTGATCTCCCGGCCGCCGGTGGCGCGGCCATCCTGGACATCGGAACCCACTGCCGGCAGCGAGAGCCGCTTAAGTGGTCGGCCGGCCCCCGGAGCGCGGCTGAAGCACGCCGAAATCATCGACAGGGGTGCAGAGGTGGCCGCACGGCGCCGATTTCAAGTCGAAGTGGGCGGCGCTGGGGCCCCATGCGATCTCGGAGCCGCCTGGCCCAAGGAAAGCGATGCGTTCGTGGCCCACGCCTGTCTCCACCACCCCGTCGCTGTACTGCGCGGACACCTGGCGGGGCAGGGAGGTCAGCGCCCGCGCACTCCGCGGCCAGCGCGCGCACGCTGCGCTGACTGGTCACACCATCGCGGGGAGTCATCGCGATATGGCGGCGCACCTCGCAGCGCGCCACCTGTGACCCGTTGCCACTGCGCCACCTCCTTCCACGCACATTGGGGAGCCTCGCCTGCTGGGCCCAGTAGGCCAAATCCACGGCGAAACGCAGTCCCCAGAGGTTCGCCCAGCGCCGGCGTCGACTGCGACGCCTAACCGGCCACCTGGTAGATCGGCGCTCGCCAGGTAGCACGGCGAATCGTTCGACGCACTAGCGCCCGCACGCGACCACGTCGGCCACCGCGGGAGCGTCAGCCTGCATAGCGGCGCGCGCAAGTCCAGGCGGGCGTCGCAGGGCACCACCGCGCCCACCTCGGACGCGAAGCTGGACGCACTGCCCGGCGACTGCGCGAGGTCTGGCCGCGGCGCTCTGGGGCCGGGGGCCAGTCGGGGAGACTGCGCGAGGTCCTGCTGCGGCGAGGCCTCATCCGGCCCCGTCTGCCTCCGCGCGGGCGGCGCCACATGCACCAAACCCGCCGGCACGCGATCTGCACCGCTGAAACGGAAGTCGGCGACGACGACGGCTGGGCCGCGGTGCGCCGGACAGCGCGCCAAGCGGCCGTCTGTATTCGGCATCAATCGCACATGGCCCGCGCGGCGCAAGATGCGGCGGCACTGCAGGCAAATCACCCTCGCCGCGCTGAAAGGCCTCGCGGCAGATGGGGCGCCCCCCATCGTCGCCGGTGAAAACCGCCACTGCGGACAGGCATAGGAGATGGAGTAACAAGGGTCCCATGTCCTACTCCGCGCGGCCCCCCGTCGCAACTTGCCCCGCTGCCGCGCGTGCTCAAGCTCCAGCCGCACGCTGCGGAGCTCGTCGAGGCGCCGTCGCCGCGGCGCCGACGTCGCGCTCAGATCGGCCGCCGCTGGCCGCCCAGGTCTCGCGACTGGCGAACAACGCGGCCACTCTGCCCGACGGTTGACTCGCGCCGACGGGGCTTTTCGGGATGATCAAAGCCAGCTCCTGGGGAGACACCAGCACTGGCGGTGACGCGACTACCAGCGCGGACTGCGGTGACCACGCGGAGCTTGATCCACACGGAGCGACGACGCCGAGGGCACAGACCGCAGGCACGCATGCACAGCTCGGCAACTGCACGTCGGCAGGCGGGGCCGGAGGCGCGGCGGCTCGCGCGTTGAGGTCGCCCGCCCAGTCGCGCCCCTGAGCTTGCCCCCCAGTGGGAACGCACCACCCACTCGCGCCCACCGCTGCGGCGTTAGTAGTGGTTGTGCTGGGGGGCTGCTGGAGCTGTCAGCGCTGCTGGTGCGACCACTGGTCCTGGGGCTGCCGCGGGCGGCGCTGCCCCCACCGCCGCTGCCGCGCGGGCCAGCGACGCAGTCACGGGGCCCCGCGGCTGCGCAGAGTCTTGCACGCGGCTCATGAGCTCGGCCAAGTCTTGTCGCAGTCGTCGTAGGTCGGCGTTGCGAGGGTTGCGCGATGGCGAAAATTAGGACGGTGCACCTACCCAACGCGACCAATTGCTGTGGCCAACTTGTTGTCAAGAGCCGTCTGGCGACGCACTCGGAGCGGCCGCTGGCACTGCAGGCCGCGGCGCCGACACCGATGAAGTCGGCCGTCCGCCGTTCCAGGGGCCAGCGCGCTGCGTGGGATCGCCATCCCCGGTGCCCGGAACCATGGGCTGCGGAGTCCCAGAGCCGCCCCTCGCCTTCAACACTGCGCACGCCGCTAGCACGGGCTGCCAATCGGATGGCCCCGGCGGCCCCTTCTGCCCCAGAAGTGCAAACGGTGGGGATCTTGCCGGCGACGACGCTCTTCGCACATCTACTTGCCACGGCACTGAGCACCGCCAAGTGCACGATCGTCCAGAGGAGTGCGCGCCTGGACCCACTTGTGCGAGGCTGCAAAGAATGCGCGGGTAAGGTGGACGGCCACGTACCACGAAATCGAAAACGGGTTCTCCAGGATGCGCCTGGGTTTCCGTCAGAGTGCTGGTGACACAGTCGCCAGCCACAGCCGCCGGACCCTCCATTGTCTCCCCGCTCTTCTGCGCATGCGCTTCCCAGAGCTCTCGTGCCAGTCACCAAAAGCTCGGGACCCTTCCACCGTCGACGTGAGCGCTGCATAGAGCTCATATGTTCGACATTTCGGGTGGTTATTTCCACAGGCGGGCGCATCGGAGGAGTAAGGGTCCGCGACCTGCGCTGACAGTCAGTGCAAGCCTCGGAGAAACCGCTGGAAGCTCCAACGCGCCATGAGATTCGTCGTCATGGGCGGCGGCGCGGCCGGGGTCTTTGACGATTTCGTTCGTGTAATTGCACAGGTAAGCGTGTGCCTCCCTCACTGGTCTTGGCGGATGGGCCAGTGCTGCCCCGACGGACCCGAGAGTGACATCCCTGGCCAAGGTAATCGGGAAGAGATGCATGAGAGCGATACTGCAAGCGGAGTTAATCGGCACGACCAGCTGGACGAACAGCTGGATGTAGAGCGGCATGGCCAGCTGGATGAGCAACTGGATGTAGAGCGCCGTGGCCAGCTGGATGAACAGCTGGATGTAAAGCGGCGGAGAGGTGGAGCCATGGCCATCGAGGCGAAGCGAGATATGGCGGCCGTGGTAGTGCAGCCGAAGTTCTGCGACCAACTCTAAAGAGATGGACGTAAGAAGAAATGGATGTGAAAGATGGGATCTTTCTGTAGAACGAACGAAAACAAATATGATGGTGAATATAATAACGGGCGCGATGCACGGACCTGGCTGCAAACGGCAGCGGGCAAAAGAACAACGCGCAGGTAAAGATAGGGGAGAGAGGGAGAGAGAAAGCAACACAAGTACCTTTCGAGTCGGTGAGGGGGGAAGAGAAGAGGAGGAAGAGGAGGAGGAGAAGAGGAGGAGGGGAGGAGGAGGAGGAGGAGGAGGAGGAGGAGGAGGAGGAGGAGGAGGGAGGAAAACGATACATGCCCGATACGTGCGGGGAAGCTCGATCGGTCCCTGGTGCAGGGCACCGGATGACCCAGGAAGAGGCACTGGAGAAGAGAGGCGCACCCGGCCACCCGCTGCGCTGCAGGGCGGCGGGGAAGGGGAAGGTGGAGCAGGAGAGGAGAACTGAGGAGGAAGGAGGAGGAGGGGGAGGAGAGGAGGAGGAGGAGGAGGAGGAGGAGGAGGAGGAGGAGGAGGAGGAGGGAGGAGGAGGGAGGAGGAGGAGGAGGAGAGGAGGAGGAGGGGCAGGGAGGAGGCATTCCAGAGGGGGCAGGAGGGGGGAAGGGCAATCCAGGAAAGGAGGGTGGAAAAGACGTGCAGCCACGGGGCTGGAGAGAAGGCCCGGTCGTCTGTAAGGCGCAGCACTCGCTCGGCTCGGGCATGAGTGGTACGGCTGAAAGGCCGCCCAGGGGGACAGGGCATGCAGGCCAGATGGACATCTTAGAGATGTGAACGAGGGAGACGGGCTACCAGCTTGAATGCTCTCCGGCTCGTCCAACCCTGATACCCTGCCCTCCTCCTCCTCCTCCTCCTCCTCCTCCTCCTCCTCCTCCTCCAAATTATGTCCGAATAACCCTCGAGGGGGGAAGGAGGGGGAGGTGGCCGAGGAAATGAAGGCGTGACAAGGCGGCAGGAGGGCCCCCCAAGTCAAGCACAGGGGGCTGAGGGCCTTCACGAGCACACCTCGTAGATATCGGAGCCACTGGAGGCGCCCGAAACACTTCGGCTGAAAAGCCGAGGCCGCCAGGGGGGGGGGGAGGGGCAATCGTAAACCAGCAGAAAACACGGAGGGGGCCGCGTGTGCCGGCGTTTTCGCGTTGGCACCCAGTGCCAACGGAGGTACACTCCTCTGGGGAAAGGTGCCGAAGGGAAAGCCGAGATGGCAGGCGGAAAGTGACGGATGCAGAGATCAGGAGCGGCCTGCCTGCAAAGACAAGGCGTGACACAAGAGAAGGACGTGATGATATTAGCAGACACGTCTTAACACGACACGGCGCGAAGATGCCCTGGAGGTGGCCCCCAGATAGCTGGCTTTTGACAGCCCCCTCGAAGCTTCTAGACGGATCGAGGAGGCCCCTGCGAGCACTGGGAGCTCCAGTGACATTTCCAGAAGCCTCCCCAGAGACTCGTTTTGCCGCAAGCCCCAGCGTTAGAGCTGGCTGGGGGGCTGAGATGGCCCAGCACTGGCTCAGGCCAGCAGAAAGGAAGCGGGGGAGGGAAGGGGCCCCCTCGGCGCCACGGCTGGACGCGGCGCGAAAAGCTTGTCAATTTCAGCCCAGGGAGGGATCCAAGGACCGATTTTGAGCGGATATGCCCTCGTCGCCCCCTCTTAACTGATGCTCTCGGGGCCCAGCCAGCGCAGACCCACTGACCGCTTCAACCCCAGAGGCCTCCACCAAGATGACACAACAAATCATTCAAGGTGATCGGCAAAACTCCGAGTTATCAGGAATTTCAGTTCTGAAGGAAGCGCTTGTATTCCGTAACCTGAAGGACGCTTCACGGTGGGCCCTGTGAGTTTAGAAGGTCATCTGCTTTACAAACCTGCATTCGCCAAATCAGACTCAAGCTTCTCTCTGGGGGGCGGGCGGTGTCAAGCAAACATGCGTGTGCGCTTGGCCAGGAGTGCCACCTGTAAGGTGGAACATGTCTGCCACCTCGCGCTCTTAGGAAGATCACTACCCGACGCATACATACGGGGAGGTAGAGCAGCTGCCCCTTAAAGGCAACTTGCCAAGATCTTGTACACATGGCGTCCTAATACAAAAGACGAAGCGTGCAGAAAACTCTATGACAAGCGCAGTGGACCCAGCCGCACATTGGCTGCGAACCACCCGAGCCCTCCCTACGGCAGCAGGGCCAAAGCCTTCCTCACCTGGATGTCCGATGTCCCAGGACACCAGGAGGCAATCGATATGGCCCCCAGGGGCTCGAGAAAATCAATATTCACCCTCGGGGAGGTCGGCTTCCCAAGCGGTGGATCGGAGGTTTGCGGGTGAGATGGCAGTGGAACCGAGAGCCCCCCACTGGGAAATCGGCTTCGGTTTCATGTTCGTGTTGTGCGTGCGGGCGAGGCGACGGACGCTGCGTGGGCGCGCGAGAGGAATGATCCCGCCGAAACTAGGCCGATTCAGGATGATCCGACCCTCTGGTGGGCGCGGGGTGGCTGGAGGTGTCCGGCCAAGGTGTCCCGCGTTGTCCCGATGGTGTCCCGCAATGTCCCGCCATGGTGTCCCGACGGTGTTTCGTGGTGTTCCGTGGTGTCCCGCGGTGTCCCGTGGTGCCAAATGATGTCCCGCGGTGCACCGCGGTGTCCCGCCGTGATGTCCCAATGGTATCCCGATCGATGATGAGGTCGGTTGTAAGGTCGGTAACGGCAGAGGTGTGGTGAGGTCGGTAGTGAGGTCGATAGTTGGATCGAAAGTGAGGTCGATAGTGAGAACGGTAGTTGCATCGATCGTGCAAGCGACAGTGAGATCGATAGTGGGATCGACAGTTGTATCGAAAGTGCAGTCGATTGTGAGCTCGATAGTGCGATCGAATGCGAGACCTACAGTGAGATGGCTAGAGGAATCGATTGTGAGCTCGATTGTGTGATCGACTGTGATCGCTTCAGAGATCAAATGTGAAATCGATAGTGAGATCGCTCTAGTGAGATCGACAGTAAGATCGATCGTAAGAACGATAGTGAGATCGACTGTGAGATCGACTGTGAGATCGACTGCAGGATCGACTGCGGGATAGATAACGAGATTCGTTGAGTGAGATCGATAGTGAGAGATCGGTTATGAGTAGATCGGTAGTGAGATCGACTGTGGGATCGGTTCGGTGGGCTCTCCTGGCTCCAGTCCTGGCGACCAACCACCCTAGCGAGTCGACAGTGGCATCAAATCGCGGCGCAACACCGTCATCCCGCGCCGTCGCCAGCTCGAGGGCGCGCCACCAGCATCGTCACCATCACACCCATCGCAGTTGCCAGCAGCGGGTTCTCTCCCCTACCCCAGGCCTCCTTGTCACCCGAGGGGTGGTCGTGCAGGTTTGCATCAAGTCGGGCGTGTCCCCCTGCAGGCGGATTTTGGACGAAAAATCATAGATACTCCAAAAATATACCAAATTTGCTGAAAGATGATCAAAAATCGTCCCCATACTTTTTGTTGTACTATGTTTGATATTCCTCCTGTAGAGGGACACGCCGAACTCAAGGTTTGCGTGAACCCCAGCGGCTCTCTGAGCTGTCCGGCCCGCCGTCGGCACGCGGCGCTCTCTCGATGAAAGAGGGCACCCCGCGGGAAGGCGTGATGCTCTCTGACCTCCAGGGCGTGGCTTCATGGGGGGGTCACAAATGGGGGGGTCAGAAACGGTCCCCTTTTCGTGCCCCTTTCGGGCCCCTCCAGAGCCCCAGGGGCTCGTTTAGGTACCATTTGGGTACCTTTTCGGACCACCCTCGCCACCCCCCCATTTATGACCCCCCCATTACGCGACGCCCAAACCTCCAGGGAGCTTCCAGCGTCGGGCGACGGCAACGAGTGCGAACACGAACACGGCAGGCTCGTGCCGAGACGACGTGCGGGTTCCGACAACGCGCGGGGTGACGTTCGGCCTCGAGCGCTCGCGGCTGACCGATGGCCCAGACAGTTCGACACATCGGCCGACTCGAGGTCACTGGCGATGCTCAACCTCGAGCGCCCGCGCTGGGGCCATCGCTGCGCTGACACGACGCGAACCGATCGCACACGCAAACTGAAATCCCGTCCCCACTCGAAGCCTCATATCTCCACCGAGGGTCTGCTCTGTGTGTGCGGCGTCCCAGACATCGTGCAAACTCCACAGGAGGACCAAAAGATCGCAGCCCGCGAGGAGGACCAACACAAGATGACTGGCCCCAGCAGTGCATTATCGCGCTGCTGACCCAACCCCGAAAGTCAACTGCTGACATTTCGAGGCACATCGTACTGCGCTCGTGGCTCGAAGGATGGGCGCTCCTGGTGTTCTCCATTGTATTCCAGGGGACTCAGCATCCTCCTCTCCCATTCATCATGCATGCCCCCTGGGACACTGAAGCGTCCGTTGTAGGATGGCCCCAAGGTCCTTTCACCCTCCTCTTCCGTCTCATTCATAGCATCCTCTTTCTGTATCCTCCTCCTCCTCCCCCTCCTCCTCCTTCTCCTCCTCCTCATCCTCCTCGTCCTCCTCATGATCTTCTTGCGCTGCGTATCCGCCTTCACCTACCTGTACCCAAGCCTGCACGAAAAAGGCTGCGCTGCCACAGGCTTTTCTACCGACACCGATCGGTGTTGTGCCAGCAACATAGAGGATCAAATCCGCTGATCCCGCCTGCTGGGGCCGAGAAGGCGTGTGAGATATATTTAGCTGTCCCCTCCCCCCGCTTCCCCTCCCCGAAAATCCTCACTACCGATCGAGGGGGGATGGGGGGCGGGAGAGATCACTGGCGCCCCTCCCGGCCCCCTCGGAGCCTCCCCATCCACAACCCGCGGCCTCCAAAAAAATGCCCACGGTGCCCTCCAAACGCTGGATCGAGAGGGGCTCCAGACGCTGGAGAAAGACCTCAGGAACACCCAGGACGGCCCAAGGGGAACCCGCGGCCTCCAAAAATGCCCACAGTACCCTCCAAACGCTGGATCAAGAGGGGCTCCAGACGCTAGAGAAAGGCCTCAGGAACACCCAGGACGGCCCAAGGGGCCCCCAAGATGCCCCAGCAGGGCCCAGAGGAAGGCCTCAAGAGACCGGAAACCAATGACTTCACTTGGTTCTCTGGTTGTTGAACACGCTTGCGTCAAGTCGGGCGTGTCCCCCTGCAGGGGAATTCTGGACGAAAATAAATGAAAAGATACCCCCAACGTACTCCAAAGTTGTCAAAAATGGTCGAAAAAATGTCCCCGGACTATTTCTTGACTATCTTTGGACATCCCCCCTGCAGAGGGACAGGCCCGACCTAGTGCCTGCGTGCTCGCCCGTTTCGGGCCTCTGCGACTCCCGGGAGGCCCGCCCAGACCGCCCCCCCACCACGGCCCAAGAAGGCCCCCAAGAGGGCTCCGAAGACAGCCCAAGAGGGCCCCAAGACCGCCCGAGAGGCCCCCAGGATGGCCAACAAGGCATACGCGAGGACCCAAGAAGGGCCAGAGAGGGGCAAAGCGCAGGGGTCACGGAAGCCTTCCCCACAAGATGGCCCCGAAGATCTCCAAGACAGCTTCCAAACAGCGTCCAAGACGACCTGAAAGGTCAGTCTCAGTTCCCAATTCGGCGGTGGACAAACCTCCCTTTGGCAAACCTCCCCTTGGTGAAAACGGCCTTGGACCGAAACCGACGGACCTGGACCCGCAAAAATGACGGCTGCGACGCCCTCTCGCAAACCGAAAACGGCCACGGTCAATTCCTTAATCGACGTGTCAGGGTAGGAGGTCTATCAACCTCCGATCTTTGCCTCCAAAATTGAGCGCCTCTTGGGCCCAAGTTAGGCTACAAGCTGGAAGGTTCGCAGACCTCGCAAAGCCGTTTCAGCCTCGCCAGGGGTCATTGGACGTCTCTTATCGTCGACGCTCGGACTCGAGCACGGTACGCTCACCGGTCTGATTTGGACGACGCTTCAGACGCGCTCCGGGATCGACTCTTCCACGCTTTCGGGCCCAGCTTGAGCCCCAAAGTGACGCCCATGCCTGCCCCGACCTAGGTCTGATTTCAACTTGTGTTCGGACGGGGTCGGGGACCAACACGGGGGGGGGGGGGACGCTCGCGGGTCGGCCGTCTGGAGGCTCGCCCGAGCCGCCTGGCGCTCTGCTTGGCCCCTCTGGGGGCCCTGCTCGCGGCCCTCTTCGGCTCCTGTTGGCGCCGTTGGGGCCGCCTTCGGGCCGCCTGGGGCATCGTTGGGCACTGTTCTGAATATTTCTGGCCTCCTGCTGCAGAAACGGAGTAATGGTCGAGGGAGCCAGAGTCCATATCACCGGTAAAGATGACGGGCCGACCACCAAACGGCGAATACATCATCGAGCAGCCGAACGGAATACCTAAGTCCAATCGGCAATGGGGTGGAGGAGAAAACAAAACAAACACCTGCGGAAAAGACTTGCCATATTTTCTGAATACTACCACGCCTTCTTGAAGCTGGTTTTGCTTCTTCCGGCCAGAACCGAAATAGGCGGGCGGTGAACGCGAAGCGTCTCGAATACACCCAACTATGAATATGCGGAAAACAAAAACAAGCACTATCTAGATAAAGCAGGATGGCTGAGTGCGCCGATCTGTGCAGGCTGAAGCATGGAAGAAGCACTGCGTGGCACACAACGCCAACCGTCACGCACCCGTCCCTCCAGGGAAGGCCAGCTGTTCCAGCACACTTTCGACTGATCGACTACACCATGAGATGATGGGTCCAAATATGGGGCCTGTGGTACAGGTCCCCAGGGGCCGAAGAGAAGAGGCAAGCGAGACACTCCCAAAACCCCTAGTGAAGCCCTAACTCGTGGTGCAGATCCTTGGTAGAGAGAGGCATGTCCCGAGCCTCGGCAGAAGCTGTAAACTGTTCGTGCGCAAGACAACCTTGACAATTGTAAAGTCCCCCGCCGTTTTGGGAGACTTCTGTCACCAACCCACGCCAAACTGGCCGCCAGATGAGGAACTCCAAAGGAAACGGGGGTTTGCTATGACCTGATACGGCCCCGTGCGGGCCAGTGCCCAAACATTACCCGTCTGGGTGCTGCACAATTCCTCCCACCTCCATGCCCCCCGCCCCCCCGGTCCCGCCCCGGTTCCTCTCATCTCCATGCCCCCCACCCCCCCCCCGCCCCGCCCCGCCAACACCTCCCATCAGAAGGTCGGCGCCAACCGGGCGCTCACCCTGATCCCAGGCACAGCGCTGGTGGAAGGGCTGCCCCGCCTGGGCGACGAGAGACAGCGCGGCTCTACGCTCGTCTGGCCAGATGGCCATCGCTGCCGCCCCCCAGTCCCAAAATCGTTTCCCCATCCCCCTCCCCACTCCTCCCTCGCGGGGACGGATTGGGAAGCAACTTCTGGGAGGTCTTCGTAAGAACGATTGCGGGCTGCGAAACTCGAGTCAGGATCCATTAAATCGAATTCTGCCAGATTACGCCCAGGGCTTACCCACGCTGCACTGAACAGATCGTGCCGGTTATCGACCACGGATCTACCAGCGCCGATGCTGACTTGCTTCTCAGCCAGGGGGGGAGAAGGGAGGGAAGGGTGGGGAGAAAGACGGGGGGGGTGCTGGGTACAACGAACGCCTCTTGGTGGCGCGACTCAATGCTCGTCTGACCTGACACGGCCAGATCCAGATCATGCCGGCTATCGACCTCGGATCTACCAGCGCCGATGCTGACTTGCTTCTCAGGCAGGGGGGGAGAAGGGAGGGAAGGGGGGGGAGAAAGACGGGGGGATGCTGGGTACAACGAACGCTTCTCAGTGGCGCGACTTAATGGGACGCATTCTGACCAAGAGCGCGAGGATAATCCAGCGGTGCGAACCAAAGGCCGGGTAGCAGAGTCGGTATCCTTTCTGTCTCCTCGTCCCTCCACCCCTCTCCTCCCTCCTCCAAATCCCTCCTCCTCCCCCCCCCCTCCTCCTCCTCCTCCTCCTCCTCCTCCTCCTCATCCTCCTCCTCCTCCTCTTCCTCTCTCCTCCTCTCCTCCTCCTCCTTCCTCTCCTCATCCACCTCCTCCCCCTCCCCCCCTCCCCCTCCTCCTGATCCTCCTCCTTATTATCCTTCTTCTTCTTATTATTCGTAACATTAATAGTATTGTTATTATTGTTATTATTATTGTTAGTATTATTAATGTTATTATTATTAGTAGTATTATCAGTATTATTATTATTATTAGTAGTAGTATTATTATTATGATTAGTATGATTATTATGATTAGTATGATTATTATGACTAATAATATTGTTAGTAGTATGATGATTATTAGTATTATTACTATTACTAGTATTATTATTATTAGTAGTAGTAGTAGTAGTACTATTATTATTCCTCATTCGCATTATAATTATTAATTTTATTATTTAAATTATTTTTATTATTAGTATTATTATGTGTATTCGTATCATGTTTCTTCGTATTAGTATTAGTAGTATTATTCTTATTCGTATTATTATTATTCGTCTTCTTATTATTTTTCTTATTATTCTTATTAGTTTCATTATTATTAGTATTCTTCGTATTATCATTAATACTCTTAGTATTCTTAGTATTATTATTATTCGTATTATTCTTCGTCTTATTATAATTAGTCGTATTATTAATTTTATTAATCATATTATTATTAGTAGTATGATTCCTCTTCCTCTTACTCTTATTATTATTTTGATTAGTATTCGTATTAATATTATTCGTAGTGCTATTATTATTATGTTGGTTCTTCTTATTATTATTATTATTAGTCTTATTATTGTGATTCTTCTTATTATTCTTATTAGTATTAGTATTCTTCTTATTCATATTACTATTAATGGTATTATTAGTATTAGTAGTATTAGTATTCGTCTTCGGATTCGTCTTCTTATTCGTCTTCGTATTCGTATTCGTCTTCGCCTTCGTCTTCGTCGTCGTAGTCTTCTTATTCTTCTTGGTGTTACTATTATTAGTCCTCCTGCTCCTCCTCCTCCTCCTCCTCATCCTCCTCCTTATCCTCATCCTCCTCCTCCTCTTCCTCCTCCTCTTCCTCCACCTCCTCCTCCTCCTCCTCCTCCTCCTCCTCCTCCTCCGCCTCCGCCTCCGCCTCCGCCTCCGCCTCCGCCTCCGCCTCCGCCTCCGCCTCCGTCTCCGCCTCCGCCTCCGCCTCCGCTCCGCTCCTCCCTCCGCTCGCCCCGCCTCCTCCTCTTCTCTCCTCCCTCCTCCTCCTCCTCCTCCTCCTCCCTCCTCCTCCTCCTCCTCCTCCTCCTCCTCCGCCTCCTCCTCCTCCGTAGCCACGTTGGCTCAAGATGCCAGGATCCCCAGGGGGCCAAACGGATACCGCTAGTCCGCGGCCAGACCACGACCACTTTCGCCTTCACTGTGGGAGTTGGGCACCCACCACCAGTTCCCTCGTCAAGCCTCCCAGGTTGCGATGGGACGCTATGGCAAGGCATGGAACACCTGTACGGCATGCAACAAGTGGTCGTACAAGTGGCGCATCGTCCAGAACGGTAACGTATGCCACCATTGCAGCAGCCCTGTGGACATCTGGAAGAAGCCAGACCAGAGCTACAAGAAGCCGCCACGCAGGGCCCCCTGGGCCGACCACTCGCAGCTCACCAAGCCCGACCAGTTCCTCGCTATCCTGGACCAGCTCCCAGGCGACCTGCGGGCCTCCGAGCACGGACGGGCCCTCGCTAAGGAGATCGAGAACCGCACCAAGGCGCAGCAGTTGGCCGCCGAGGCCAACCCAGAGGCCGTGCACCTGCGCATGGCAAAGGCGATCAGGGTCGCCAACCAGGAGAAGTCCAAGCTCCAGTCGCTGTCCGTCCGCCTCAGGGCTGCCCAGGAGTACCTCGAGAGGTGCAAGCAGGACCAGCTGGAGCAGGCCAGCATTTCTGTCGCGGCTGAGGCAGAACGTGTTGAGGCAGTCCGTGCACACGAGGCCACCACCACCCAGGGCGCCGACCCGAGTACCACGCAGGACGGACGCAGAGTGGTCTCCGCCTTCGACGCGTCCCTCTTTGACGATCTCGACCAGTACGAGGATGAGGCCAAGAACTTCTTGCTCACTTGGAAGGACGAAATGGAGCGCCACCAGAGGGAGATGGAGGAAGGCCAGCGCCGCCTCCAGGAGCTCCTCCAGACGGCGCGGGCCACGGTGGAGGCCCCTGCCAACAAGAAGCGCAAGAATCCCGCGGGGGAAAGGGGGTCGCGGCCGACCCCACGCCCACCGAGGCCAAGGCTAAGGCCGCGGCCCAGGCGCCCAAGGCCCCCGCCAAGGCCCCTGCCAAGCCCACCCCTGAGCAGCAGAAGGCCGCCGCTGAGCAAGCAGCAGAGGCAGCCCTGACCGCGGCCAACGCAGAGAGCGCGGCCGTCTCATCCAGCGCGGCTGCAGCGGCCAAGGAGGTGGCTCGCAGAACTTCTGATCGCCCTAAGCCTCCCCCTGCCAAGGCCGCAGGCTCCACGCCAACCGCGGGCAACGAGCGGGGGTAGCCGTGCCACCTTCTTCTTTGCTAACATCACCGCCTTGGGCCCCCAGGCGGCCAAGTACGCACATGAGAAGCGCGACTGCTACAGCATCATGGCCATGGTGGAGACCCACATCGGCCCCACGGCGACGCAGGACATGCGCATCCAACTTCAGAAGGACTCGTGGAAGGCTTCGGTCACTCCCGCATTCAGAAAGTATAACGGTTTCTCGGGAGGAGAGATGATCATCGCCCGAAATATCGCGGCCACCACAATGGACCAGACACGTAAGGAAGCGCAGGCCCCGGGGCGCCAGGACCCCTGCCGTGGATTCGCTCCTCTTATCTGGCATCTGAGGTCCGGAAATTGACTCGTTGCGTCGTTGTACCTCTTACCTTCCATTGGCTTTCGGCACAAGAATCACGACACACTCACGGCCATTGCTTCCCTCTTGCACGCGCTTCAGGACGCACGGATCATTGTTGGTGACTGGAACCACGAGCCAGACGAGCTGGCAAAATCGAAGTGGCTTGATAAATTGGGAGAAGAGGTCGCCCTTCCCACCGGCACCCGCGTTACGTGTTCCCAGGGCCAGGGAAGAATGTACGATTATGCTGTCGTCATTAAAGGCACCGCGCATCTCTACGCCATCCATCCTGTCTTTGCTGTCCCGTGGTCTCCCCACTGTGGTTTACATATCGACGTAAGGCAGACATCGGAGGACTGGTGGCATGCAGCGCTGTTGCTTCCTCGACCGTTGCCAGTTGTTCGCAGGCCCAAGTTGGCTCCCGACCCTGAGAGCAAGAGATCCAGAGCGAGACGCGCCTGTTCGCGAGACGATCATCAGGTACCAGCTGGACCCGACACGGACCCCGACCAGGAGCCCCTCAAGGTCCCCTTCTACGCCCCCGAGGAGTCTTGGGTTGCTGCTTGGAAACAGGCCAGAGGTAGCTGTGTCTTGGGTGACCTGGGGAGCAGCCCCGTGCAGGACTCCCCGTTCCTCCTGGAGGACCCGAAGGGCACGAATACAATATGTGTGTCACGGCTATGGAGGAGACTCCCTTGGGCTAGGAGACTCACCCTGACCCCTTACCCAGAGGCCGTCGTATGGGTTTCTCAAACCCCAGGAAGGGCCCACCTGCGTGACGACCCCGCTGAACGTTGGGCCAAATTTGGGACGCTTCTGGACCGCTATTGCATCCTTACCAGCAAGGGATCCGACCCTGGTCAGCTTCCCAGCATCCTTGCCGACTGCAGGCGCGCCATCCCACTCATCTTGGGACAGGACGATACCCAGTAGTTTGGCAAGAATTCGCTTAGTGACCGCACGGAATGGAGCAGACTCGCGGAAGACTTTCTCGCTGGCACACTCTCACCTTTTGTCTGGGTGAGCGACGATTGGAGCCCGAAGGTCATTGACTCTGAGCGGAGAGAAGAAGTCTGATTTGGATGAAGGCATTCGCAGGTTGATTTCACGAACGCCACATTTCCAATGCCATCCGTACACTGACATTCCATTTGGGCTCAATCAAGACTTGGTTCAAGCCGCTCCCGAGCTGGGCGGCGTCGCATCAGACGTTGGTACAACAGGCGTGACGAGTACTTCTTGGTCGACCCAGAGACTAACCACTCCGAGGACAGTTTCGCCGCCGCAGTTGATTTCACGTGCGCGCTCCCCTCCGGTTGAGCCCTCGACCTCACGGACACCGGGCACGAGCTTCACTGCACCTGAGATCGTGGAGACCCCCCTGGGCCCGCAGCACCCCGCAGGACCAGTGTTCGGAAGAGCGGCAGTGGCGCGCCACGCCCACCGCGTGCTGGACTCCACGGGGCAGGCCCCCCCCAGGGGGGAATCGCAGGAGGTGC